CTCCCTGGCCCTGGAACTTTTTAAAGGACTCTCATTCTTTTCTATACTGGGCATTTATGTATGTTTCTCTCTCTCTCTCTCTCTCTCTCTCTCTCTCTCTCTCTCTCTCTCTCTCTTATGCTAGATTTTTATTAGTGTGTTCTCTGGACTCGCTGATCATTTGTTTCATCAGAGTCATTATATGGTTAGTTATATCTTTACATTTTCCAAACACCCAATTGGAATGTTTTACCTCCACTGATACCATGTTAAACCATGATACCATGCTGTGTGGCTTATGATTTCTTCACCTTTTCTGGCCTCTGGACTGGTTTTGGGTGAGTTGGGAATTTTTGCAGGCATTTTGTTGCTTTGTCATTTCATGTTTCTATTTTTTAAAGAATCTTTTTGTGCTGGATTTTGTGGCTTATTTTGCCCAATGGCTGGTTCTTTGAGAATGATCTCATCAATGTTGTTTCTGACTCCACTCCCACCTTCATGGAAATCCAGATATCAGTGCTCAGAGAAAACCAAATGATATCAAAAACTATGTCAACTTGACAACAATGATATCAAATATCAACGGGATATTGAAAAAGATCTTAGGATCACTAAAAAATGACTCTTGACCAGGGCAAAGAGGACCATGATTTTAATGAAGATGCTTAAATCCACCAGACATTGGCCTATAGCAATTCAGACTGCTCATTTCTGCTGGATTTAGTAGGTATGCAAGAGCTTCAGAGTACCCCTGGACTTGAAGTCCATACCTGAAGATTACATCCAATGAACCTGGACTCTCACCACAGAATGTAGCCCCATGATCCTCCTGGCCTGAACCCAAGCCTCCTCATGGATCCTAGGAAATCAGATTTTAGGTCTTACCCTTTTCAAGCCTGTATCTTAAGGGTGGCTCTCGCCTGGTCTTTGTGGTCTGGTAGCACTTGTCCTGGACTGAAACTCTCCTCCTTGAGATTGACCTTATGCCCCATCAAGTGTTTTGGTTGAGACGTTTGCCACATTGCTATGGAGAATCCATGAGCAGATCTGGTGAGGACTTGTAGCTGGGATGCTCTCTTCTTGCTTGCTGCAGGGTGTATGTGAGATCAGGGCTGGTGGTGGTGGAGATGGTGTGGGTCACACGAGATCTTGGCTCCTGCATCCCATGTGGATTGTGCAGGGCTTGAACAGGTTCTCTGCACATGGTTGTACTGTCCCTGTTGAAAACTCTTTATATGCTATTTGTTGGCATTAGTCACATTACTACAGGTGATGACTAGCAAGTAGAATCCACATCCTTTCATCCATCCAGTGAGTGTTTGATAATGGGCAGCTGAGTTCACTGCTTTTTCTCTGTGAGCTGGTATAACATAATACTGCACTGGTCCTGTCTAGACAACTTGTTATCACCCCAGGTTTTACTGGTTCCTTTCCTGAGCCTACCTTACCTAGAAAATGAGCATTAAGGTACCAAAATTCACCATGCTATTATTATTATTAATGTATAGACATGTACTGATGAGAAAAGAAAAAAAAAAGACAGGAAATTTGGAACTCAAAATACCTATGCTCAGGAGCATCATACTCTTGGAGATGCTAGGGCCCAGGCTATAGTTACTGATCCTCAGGGTCTCCCTGTAGAGGAAAGGATTGTGCTGGAGTCAGGGTCCAACCTAATGTGCTGTGAGATGAAGGAGTCTGGTGCTGTGGAAGAGCTTTACTGACTTCGGTGAGTCATCCTTGTGATTTATGAGAACACAAATGAAAAGACTTGGTCAAGGTACAAAGGCATAACTTTAGATGCCCTATTTACTAATGCAGTTAAAGTCCTCATGGTCCAATTATATCAATCTATGACATGATAAGAGCATGTGATCTTATACGTTTCTGCAGTCATTCCACATAGCTATATGTTAGTCACCTTCCTGTTCCTATGAAAAAGTACTTAACGTGGAACTTAAAGGAGGAACTTTTTTTGGGCTTATGCTTCAGAGGGTTCTGTCCATGGTTGGTTGATTCCATCACCACGGGCCTTAGGCAAGGCAAAAGCATCCTGTGGAGCGATGTGGCTCAGTAAAGCTGTTCTCATGGTAGTTGGGAAGCAAGGAAAGAAGTAAAGAGCCTAAGAGGAAGGGGTCAGAGAGAAGATAGAGTCCCAAGGCCATGGCTCCATGAATCAGTTCCTTCAACTAAGTCCCACATCTCACCAACAGATTAATTTACTTTTTAAATTAGTTTTTGAAAAACGTATTTGGTACAAGGTCTCACTACACAGCTCAGAGTCCTAGGGATCCTCTTGTTTTCAGCCTCCCCAGAGCTGGGATTACAGGCATGTGCCACCACACCCAGTCTTTGTGGTATGCTCAGCATGCCTGGGGGCTGGAGCCAGTGTGGCCTGTGGTGCTGGGGACCAAACCCCAGTCCTTGTGCTTGCCTAAAAAGGTGTTTAGTCCATTGAGTTATCTCGCTGGCCCGTAACAGATTAATTTGCTAATAAGGTTAAAGTCCTCATGGTCCAATTATGTCTTGAAACATGCTCAGTCAGCCAGGAAGGATTGAGGGATTATATCAGTATAATGCTCAAGGTTACACCACTGTGAGCCATCTCCGTGTGCCCAGAATTGTAACTTATTTCCTAGGTGTTCCTCAATCCAATCCAATTGACAATCAAGATTAACCATCAAATCATTTTCATAAAAATAGATTAATATGTCCCTCTTTTCTTTTTAGCTTTTATTACAATTTATAAGGCCTTCCAAAAATTCTAGAAACAATTCGTCTGTATCTTTAAAGAAAATGAACAGCTTATTATTATTTTAAAAAAAATATTCCTTCAGGGAAGAAGAAATGGATTGCAGGTCACGTGACTGAAAAAAAAATCCCAGGTGAAAACAGAGCTTTAGCAGCTCAGATGCAGACACCTCCCATGGCACACCTCACTGCCTTGCCTTTGACCTCACTGATGTGTGGCTACGCGAGGTCATAGTTACACTTAGGGAGACTGCGAAGGAATTCTCAGGCAGAAGCCTGTTTTCTAGGACCAGACTAGTCTGTTTTTCTTCTCCTCGCTTTGTAATTCAGACTGGCCTCAAACTCACTGTGTAGCCCAGGCTGGTCTGGAATTCATGACAATCCTCCTGCCTCAGCCACTTGAGCACTCGGATTACAAGCGTGTGCCACCATGTCTGCCTATAGCTCAGATGTAGTCTTAAGGAGGAACTTGTATGTCCATGTGACTTGAATGACAGGTGCAAAGAGGATCTGAGACACGCGCTTCCTAGGTTTTGGTTTCTTGTCCAGAAACCATTATAAATTGCAGGGCAAATTTTAGACTAATTTTAATCACCTGCTTAGATTGAGCCTTTTACAATTACTGTTAAATTATAGAGTTGATGAGAACACGGGGGTTTAAGTCTGGTGGGGCAAGTGCAGAGGCAAGCAGTTAGGGAACTTTGGCTGTAGTTTGCTTGTTGTTCTCAGTGGCTGATGGATCTCCTGTGGATTTCAGAGTTCAGGTAGGGCAGGGAAAGTGTCTATGTGGTAAAGATACCAGTGGGGGATTTAGCATCTAGGCAATGTAATGACAACATCCTTACTGAGGTTCATAAGACTTAAATGGGCTGTCAGAGCCCAGGAAGCCAGAGGGCAGCCTGGGTGTGAGATTCAGGGATTGAGCAGGATAAAGAGGCTGATCTCTTAGTGGGACTGTACTGGGTGAAGGTCACAGCCTTACAGGGTAAAGAGGGCTTCTACTCACAGGATGACTTATGAGGGGTATCAAGACTCAGCAAGGATGAGTGATGGCTGTGGGATTGACATCAGAAGTCTGGAGCCTTCTCTGAGGAGGTTGGCTCAGCACTGGGTGTCAGGCTTTAGCCAACTGAGTAAATCCTTGAAGGGGTGTGGTCTGGCTCTGTGCCGAGTGGGGAAGGGATTGAGGGAGGTGCTTGAACTCGGGGCATTAGAGCACAACCAGGGAGAACTGGTTGCTGTAGTGTGGGACAGATGGCACAGAATGTGAGAGATCCAGAACTCCAGACAATCCAATGATTAAGTTAAAGGCAATGAACACAGGTTCTGTACTGTCACAGGAGTTAGAAATATGGAAAGGTAGAAGACTAAGATGAAATCTGTGGCACTGAATTAGACCTGTAGGCCTTATAGTGAACTTATGTTTTTCTGTGCCTTTAGACAGATAAATATGGGTACAAAACAAATATATGGAGTAAATCTGCATGTTTGTTACATGGTGAGAAGGAGTGGGGAACACGGATGAAGTGGAGTCATATTGGTAAGAGTTTAGGGGAGAGAATCTAGGCATGAGTTGAGGGCTGGTCTGCCAGAACTTCTCACAAGAATGATTTAATTATCAGAGTTCTCTCCTTAGCCTAGGAAGCAAAAATGTCATTATTTGGCACTCAGTTAAGTTTATAATGGTCTACATGTGATTCTATTTAGTTTTGCTAACCAGTGAAAAATAATCACATGTGTGCAGAACTGTGCATCGAGGTGGTGTGGAGATTAAAGGGATAACAAGTGTGGCATGAAAGATAGCCTCCTCCCTCCGACACCTAACAGATCTGTTTTCAGTTCTGGAGGTGACAAGTAGCAAAATTAATGGAGGTGCCCAGGGCTGTTACTTCAGAACAGGAGGAGAAAGCAGCAGGTGTAGAGGAGCAGATGCATGCTGCATCTTCCTCACCACACTAAGAGGGAGCTAACTCCTGAGAAGGGTTGAGGGGAAGGTGAGTTTATACCTCTTAGAATGTGTATGAAGAAGCTGCCTGATTAGCTAAAAATGATGAGGTAGATGTTAATGTAACAGTAATTGCTCAGGCTTTTTCTTTTAGAAGTAATTATATTTGTATGTGGAGATGTAGGTCTTACTTTTGTGGTGCTTTCTAGACTTCTTTAGCTCTTGGTTCCTCTTTTCCTTTCCTTCCTATTTTTCCCTTGCCTTTTGACCTCCATTTTGACACATTTATTTTTATTCTATAATGATTCTGGGAACTGGACTTCTTTCTGTGGACCTCATGACTCAACATTCTGGGTTTTAATTCTCAGGAGATACTTCTCTGAAGTATTTGTTTATTTAGTGCCTGTAGATTTCTATAGTTGAGTGGCAGGACAATTTACCATATGTTTGATCATATTTGTAACATGTTTTAAGAGACAGATGAAATACATTTTCAGAAGAAAGCAAATCTTTGCTCAACATGACCTTGGAAACTCTACGTGTTAAAGGTAAGTTCAGAAATGAATCCATGTTCTTATACAACTCATCTTCTTCTGCAGAGCCTCTCTGTTTATTTTGTAGTGGATAGAGTCATTTTCTCTTGGAAGAAATGACAGATGAAGAAAGATTAATGAATAAGGTATGGTGGAGTTAGTAGTGTCTGCTAAAAACAGGACTGAGTTGCCAGTACATAGGAGTAAAGGAGGCATACAGTTGTGTAGTGGGAAAAAGTGTTAATGAAGATAAGAATAGGGCTGAAGATAGCTCAGCAGCACAGTGCCTACCCACGAGTATGAGGTCCTGAATTCGAGTCCCAGTATCCCTGGTTCCCCCAACAAAAAGAAGAGAAGTATAATAATGTGACAAAAATGCTCAAGACACATTGTAAAAGAAAATGACAGGTCAGAATTCAGTATTTATGGAATGTCAATTGTGTAAAAATATACTTATATGAATATACATTTTAAAAAGTTACTGGAGGGATATGTACTAAATATGAACAACAGTTGCTTCTGATGTTAAGAATTTTTGTATTTTTCAATTTATTATGTACATGTTTTTTTTTCTATTTTTTATTTCAAATGTCCACACTCTTTGTAAATATGTGTCATACAAGAAAATACAAGAAGAGAATAAGGAAATAATATAAACACAAAACTTATTACTAATGTAACTAATTTTTTTTCAGCTCCCCAAGAGAGGGTGTCCCCCGGAAAATATACTGCTGGTTCTCTCAAGCTCCTTTTTGCTTCACTGCTGGTACTTTTCCTGTTGAAGGTGGTTTTATCATCTGTCACTTGTATTGTAAGTGAGCCATCCAAATCAATGAGCAACATGTGCCTTACAAGAGAAGGAGCCAGCCCACAGGAAGCTAACAATGCTTTTATCTAGATATCGGAAAACTACTTTTTCTGAGTAAATAGAATTCATGAGAATTCATGGGATTCTTTTTTTACGGATCTAGTTCCTCTTCTGTAGAGATAATGGGTTCATTTTCTTCATATTATTTGAAGAGTAGATGTTTGTTGGATTTGTAGAGTGAAATCTTTTGGGCAGCATCTCTGTATCAGACTGTGCATGTGAAGACAAATCTAGATATTCCTTGGTAGCATTTTAGGAGACTGGCTCTATTTGAATGCTCAGACACATTAGATTTTGGGATGAGTGGGACGGCAAAAAAAAAAAAAAAAAAAAAAAATGAGAAGAAATATTCCAGAAAATATTCTGCAGTGAATTGTTTTTGTGATAATCTTGCCTTACCCAACACTGTGCAAGATCTAAGTGCCAATATAAAAATGAGTAGAATTCTGTATATTTTGGCTTCTTGAATTTATCAAATATTTGAAAGGGATAAAATTAGCATACATTGGTAAATATTTTCTTCATTTACTTGTTCATTCAATAAGAACTACATACAAAGTACTGTGTAGTAACTTATGTCACTGCTGATAGAGAGTCACAAAGAGCCATGGCCTCAAGGAATTTGGAGAATAGTCAAGTGAACCAGTGCTTCCACTGCAAGGAAAGTGTCATGTAGGTGAGAAGGTTGAGGTAAACTTTCTGGAGAAGGCAGCATCTAGAGCTGTGTACCAAAGATGACCTAGACATACTAGAGCATAAAATAGGAGAAAATATAATTATACATCACTGGAACATAAATGCTGTATGAAAAACTAAACTATGAAGCTGTAGGTGACAAACACAAATGTCATTCAGGTTATGAAGAATGTTATGTAACATTTTAGACTCCCTCTCCCCCCACCCCCGAGCTTATTTTATTAACTATCTTCTGCTGCTTACTTAACCAGTCTAACACTTAGTTCAACTTTTTATCTAACTCATGTATCTGTGATTTGGCCATTTAGCCTGGTGTCAGGGAGGAGGGTCCCATGTGGCTGGCTGAGCTCTTTCATACATATGATAGTTCAGGAAGCTACCATAGAAAGACGAAGAGGAAGAGGATATCAGCAGGAACTACAGGGGTACCTGGGGCACATTTCCCCCTCCTTTTATGGGCCAGGCCAGGTTTGTTCACCTGGCACCTTGCAGACTTCTAAGGTTGAGGAGAAGTAGTGGAGCCCCCTTAAGTTCCAACTTGTGTCTAGCGCAGAGCTGCTGCTGCACCTTCTGTTGGTCGTAGAGTCTTAAAAGTAGCCCAGATTCAAATAGTGGAGAAATGAACCCTGTTTCCTGATTGGTGAAGCTCCCCATCATTTTGGAAAGTGGTGTAGACATAGAGAGGGTTGAAAATTATGGCCATTTTTCCAATGAGTCACAGTTATGAAGAGCTATTAAAGAATTTGAAGTAGGAAATTGATCTAATCAAATTGTAGTTATGTAAATATGCTTTTACAGAGAAGTGAAAATGGAGGCATTGGGAGAAGTTAGAAGGCTCCTTCATGATTCAGTTGAGATCATAGAGCCTGAACGAAGACAGTGAAGAAAAAGCAGAGGAGCTGGCTTTGACTGGTGAAGGAGACAAAATAGGGGGTGGAAGCATGATGAGTATTATTAAGACCTGGGTATAAGCGACACAGAGAAGTTAGGTGTGTCTAAAATATTCTGACCTAGTAAGCCAGGAAGTTATGAAGTTACTAAAAAGGTAGAAATACAGAATAATGAGAAAGCTTGGGTAGGAAGATGGTTTAAGATTTGGACATATTCAGGTGCACCTGAAGTATACTGTACATCTCATATAATTGTATGAGGAATATTGTATGGGTTGCAGGATAGATGATGAGTTTTGGAAGAAGGATTACAGGAGAGAGGATGAGTTTTGGAGATCATTCACATATAGGCAGCAGGTAGCAAATGGGAAATATGATATTACTCCACAAGCAGATGTAGGGCAGGAATAAAGGATAAGAATGGAATTCTAGGGAATGTTTCATTTTAGAAGAGAGGAATGGAGGAGGCAGAATCAAAGAATGTAAGAAGCAGGAGCAAGAAAGGTGAGGCCAAACATGAGGAAGCAGCATGCCAAGGGTTAAGTAGGACGTGAACTAAGCCAAGTCTGCAGGATGTCCAGTGGGAAGATGATGAGTTATTGGTCCTCACATGACCCATTTCAAGAAAGGCAGAAGCAAAAGCAGAAATGCAGTGGGTCAAGTGACAAGTAGGTGGTAAGGCACAATGACCGAAATTCAGTTGCTAAAGGTGATTGAATTAGTTCTAACTTTGGAGAGAAAGGGATGTGCTGATGTCCCGAGGAGTTGCAGCAGTGAAGTGGAGAGGTAAAGAAAGAAGAGGAAAATACTTACCTGGCAGGGGAGATGCCAGGATCATGAAGGTGGCTTTCTAGGTGAGGCTCATACATTGCACTCCAGATGTGCTGACCCCTGTGTTTTCCTAAAATGCAGGAAACTCGAATGCTTAATTGGTGGTAGTGGGGAACTGTTTGGGCTTTCCCTTAAAAAAGGAAAGAAAGAAGAGAAAAAGAATCCTCTTGATACAATTGGGGGTGCTTTTAAAAACCTGTGCTTGAAGTTAAAGTTCCTCAGAATTAGGTAATTCCTCCCTCATCCCTGATTTTCCCTTGGTAAACATCTTACGCAACACATAGGAGAATATGGATAAGTCCTACTACACCTGTCAAGATGGGACTGTCACGCTGTCTTTCAACTGCTAATCTTTCAGCTCTTCCTGTAGGTATCTATGGTACCAACCTCAATAGGAATAGGATTCCCTTGACTTTGGGAAATTATTTCCTATCAGTTTCTGGCTACTTGGTTAATTGAATATTTCTGGACTTTTTTTCTTCAAAGAATCAAGAAAGTACTTTTTATGCTCATATCTTGCACTCTGAGCAACTACTTTATTTTTTTATTATTTATTTTTAAATGGAAGAAGGATTTTTGGGGGGGGGGCTGGCTCAGAATGCCTTCAGGGCATGTTTGGCTGGCTGGAGTTGTGGGGATCAAACCACAGCAACCTGAGGCTGACTTCTTTGTTAAAGCAGCCACTGAGCAACTACTTTAAAGAAAATAACATCCAATGTATTAACTTGTTATTTTCTTATTATTTTGTTATGGAATTTTGTTTTACCTTTTTCCATTAAAAAAAAGAATCAAGAAAGTAAGAGTTAATAGCATAGTTATTAGCTAGCAGGAAATGATTTGATTTTATTGTTTTCTAGGTTTTTTCCAAAAATATTCTCAGCATGAAGAAAAATGTGACTGTAAAAGAACTGGTTCACACAGAATTGGAGTGTGTAAAGAACAATCATACTACTGAAGGTAAAACTTAATGCATCTATGACTGCAAGCTGAATATAATATGCAAAGTTCCCACCTCAGTATTTCCAATTAGATTCATGGGAAGATCATACTGATTGGATCTCAGTATTATTTCATTCTACAAGTGTACAAATATATAGGACACAAAATTCTAATATGTGTGGGCCACAGAGGTAGCTTGGTGGTCCAAGCACCTGCCTAGGCAAATGTAAGGACCCGGGTTCCATCCCTGGTGCTGCAGGCTGTGCAGGCCACGTCTCAGGTGCACCAAGCCTGCTACTGAAACTGGGCATGGTGGGGCTCACCTGTAATCCCAGCTCTGGGAAGGCTGAAACAGGAAGATCACTATGAGTTTGAGCTATGTATTGAGGTCCTGTACCAAAATACATTTTAAAAAATTGACTATGTAAGGCTTGAGTGTGGTAAAGGTTATACTGCTTTTAGATTTCTTTAGCCTTTGCTTCTTTTTGAGCTTTCTGTCTGTTCTTTCATGAGTCAGTTGAAAAGCACTGGATGAAAATGATGATGATAGGTACTTCATTATGAATGTGAAGTCTTAAAATGAATATATTTTTGAGAAAAATTTGTTTCTCATAAAATTGAGCAAATAATATGAAAAGATAATATTTTAAATACAACATGCACATGTAATATTCCCTAATATCAACATTTTACTTAACAAGGAATTTTTTTTATGAGCACAATATGTTTATTGAGGGAAAGAAAGCTCCTGTCTGAGAGAGGGACAGGAGGGGGGCCTGAGCAGGTAGTCAGTCCCCTGGAACAAGGAATTTATTTACAAACTAAGAAATTATTGTGTTTTTTTTCTTTTTGGCACTGGAGATAAACTTAGGTCCTTGCACTTGTCAGGCAGGCTATCTCCCCACCCCCCACACTAAGAAATTAGTACTGATATATTATCATTATACACTTATTATATATT